CTGTGACATTTTGGGGTACAAAGGTGACCAAGCCCATGGTGAGTTCACACTTCACGGCCACGCTGGGCCATGCTCAGGGCTGGATGAAGGCTCTCCCAGTCTGGGGACGCCTGTCTTTCTCCGGCAAAGGTCCAGCTTCTCTTAGTAACTTTGGCCTAAGATTATTCTTATCCAATACTCCCCTCACATGGGGGCTCCCAAGAAGGAAGGGATCCCTTAGATAAATCTATGTCAAACAGCTTCCTGTCTAAGGTTCGTGGACAAACACAAGGCCCTGGATGCCTGGAACTGGCTCCAGCTCTGGCTCCTGGCCTAAGCCACCTAAGCCAGTCAGACTTCTGTAGGCCTCGGTTTTCTCCTCTGTAAAATGGGAGATGAGCCGAGGTGGCTCCCAGCCCTAAAATGCAGCTGGAGAGGACTTGATGCCTGGCAAGGATCTGAACCAAATGAGAACACCCCTACCCCAGCCCTTCAGCCCTCCCATCCATACCTCCAACCAGCTGGAAGGCACTGCTGAGGACATCCAAGGAGCACACGAACAGGTAGAGGAAGCCCAGGAGCAGAAGGAACTTCCCAATCCCTTGCAAGATACACAGAATCTTCCCTTCGGTGTCTCTCTCTGAGGGAGGGGGAAAAGCACAAAGACTTTTAGTGTCTGAAACCCTGAGGAGTTTGGCAGTGAACTCTGAACCCCCCAACCCCCTCCACCCCCAGCCAGGGGCCTGTGAGCACTTATGGACAGCAAGGCCCAGAGATGGTGGGCAGCTGTGGCTGCAGTTTCAGGGAAATTACCACTATCGCCCACTTAGTTGAAACCCCTGCAGTGTCTCCACAGGATGTGCACTGGGGAGGAGGGGTTCGGTGTAGTCTGGGATAAGCAAGCCAGGCTCCATGCTCAGCTGAGCCCGTGTCACTGAGCGAGGCGGTGAAGAGCACTTACCACCCGCTAAGTGTGGGGTCAGAGATAATGGCTCTCCTAAGCTCCTCTGAACAGCACAGACTATTTTCTAAGAGGTGGATGCAAGGTAGCAATCACAGCCTCCGTTTGGGGAGGGCTTGGGCAATGCTGCATCCTTGATGGCTATTTTCTCTGCTTTTAAAGTGGTTCTCACCCCTCCCACCTCAAAAGCTCCTTTCCACTCCCTGTCCTGCAATCCACAGATCACCTTACACCCTGAACCAGGAAAATAGTGCAGCATTTGCTTGCCCAGCTATTCTGGCTATACTACCTCTGTCTTCCGGAAGACTTCTCTGATGCTTGCATTTAGGGAAGGGGACACCCCCACTCCCCCAACCCCAGCCCCATCCAGCTTTCAGAGCAGGGACCCTAACTGCTCACTGCTGCAGCCATAGCACCTTGACAGTACCCAGGAGCTGGGCAGCACGCAATGGGTAATTAAGGAGCAGCACCGTGTCCAGCCTGGTTATAACCCCAGCAATGGCACATTTGCCGAATGAACGAAAGAAAGTACCAAGGATTCCCCAGTCCTCACTCCATGCTTTCACTCCAAGCCTCCTAGACTGTCGGGTGACAACCCTGGCCGGGCCCTTTGTTTGAAGGGCATCAGGACAGTGGGAAGGGAGGCGATGCTGTAATGGAGGTGAGCTCGCTCCCTTGCCGATCTCACTTTACCTGTCCACTTGATCCCCTTGTGCTGACACTCGGGCAGGTCCCAGGGGTCTTCTGTGTCGGTGGGCTCCTTGATCAGGGTGGCAGTGGAGTGGGATGGCAGAAGTTCAATCTTGGTTTCAGAGGTCCCAGCGACATCTGGCCAAACAAACAACAAAGGCCAGGAGAAATGAGGAATCAGCCCCGTGTCTCTTGGGGTCCCCACAGGAGGCCCCTGGGGACTGGATGAGCAGCACTTACTTTTGTTGGTCTCCTTTCCTTTCCCATCTGTGGGGGGCTGTTGGCTCGTGATGCCTTCGATGTATTTACCTGGGTTGGGCTGGGCATCTTCCACCTCAGGCCAAGGAGCCATGGTCTGTGGGTGGGAAAAGAGAGCTTAAAGGAACAGCCATTGAAAGGAGGTCACTCAGATGTCACGGCAGGGAGAGCCAGCAGCTGCAAGGGTTTGGGGAGTGGATGAGTGTTGTGCTTACACCTCCTAAGTGTGGGCTCTTCAGCGCCGTATTACACTCCTCTGTAGGCCTCCTTCAACCACTTCTTAACATGTGTTTCCATGCCAGCCTGACCTCTACTTCACTCTAACCATCTTTGATTTCCCTACTCCCTGTCTCGTCCTCTGTCTTGACTGTCCCCTTCAGTCAGAAAGAGGATGCAAGCGCATCCACCTTCATTGATTCTCGGTCTGCCAAGTCCTCATGATCCTCCAAGGTGCCCCCAGTGGACTTAACCTATATGCTCATATACAGTTCACCTGCTTTAACCAACCGTCAGGTCTTCGGCCATAAGCAAGACACATTAGACCTGGCTCAAATCCTAGAGGTGCCCCTTATCAGGGCCCATGGGCTTACAAGTCCCTTTATGCCTCTGGACATCAAGTGTCGGTTTCCCCATGTATAGAGTGGGGACAATTCTATTTTGCAGGGTTATGAGGTTAATGGTGATACCTAGCAAAGTGCCTGGCACCAGGCAGGCATCCAAGAAATAGTAGCAATTATTACTGTGCCATGCCGCCTGGATTAATTTGTCAGACCCTGTTCTTTCCAGGCTTCCTTCCTCAGAACCCATTTCCCTGGCAAAGGCTTTCTCAGTGACATGGGTGGAAGTGTGACTCCTGACACAATGCAACCCAAAGGACTAGAACAAATGAGTCACAGAAGAGGAAGTGCAAGTGGCTACAAATAAGAGTTCAGCCTCCTCAGTAACCCAATATGTGCAAATTAAATAAAATGAGTAAAAAAAAAAAGCTTTTGTCAAAAATATGTCATACTGGAGAGGATGCAGTAAGATGAGCACTACAGGCAATGCCGGAGAACATTTGGCAAAAAGGCTAAAGAGCCACCCATTTTACATAAATCTTGACCCAGTCATTTTACTACTAGGAATTAGGGGTTGAAGATTTTCCCTAAGACAGTTAAAAAGACCTGCCTGGCGCTGATCACCTCTTTGAAGGGGGCTTTGTCTAGCTCACTGCATCCTTGGGGTCTGCAGCTCTGCCTGGTACACAGCAGTGCTCAGAAATGTTTGCTGATGGAATGAACTTGATGTAGACCAGAGACCTTGCTGCACTGTCAGAGAGGAGAATGTAAATAGGGAGTTTACTATGGTGCCTCCATTCAGTGTAGTGGCATGCCATTAAAGAGGTTGTAAAGAATCAGAACAACAAAAATACAACAATAAAAATACAACAACAGGAAAATTGTGAATAAAGGGCAATTGTTGTCCCATCCATAGCACTTCAATAAGGACCCAGAAATGTCCCATGGGGTTCAGAGTGGATGGTGGGATGGGGTGATTGTTATTTTCTTCCATCTGAAATTTCTAAATTTTAAGATACAGCCCAACCCCCAAATCCACAAAGGTAAGAAGGTTCAAGAATGTACTGTTGCTCATATTGATAAAACTAGGAGTTAAAAGGCTCCAAAGGTTTTCTCCTAACATCACACTCCTGACGCAGCTGTTCCTCCCCCGGCCTCTCCAAGGCCACACTCCAGCACACTCTCGCTACCTGCCACAGGAGCCGAGAAGAGTAAAGGCACCTATGTTGGCAGTTCTGATGCCCAGAAAGGGGCTTTTGATGTCTGAGCATGAGGCTGGGGTTACGATCACACACCTACTCCTTCACTTCCCACCACTGGTCCCTACAGTCCATCTGGCTGTGTTGATAGTCCTTTTGGCTCAAATTCCTGCATCCACCTGTGCACCCCATGCCAACAGGAAGTCTTGCAGGCTAAGGAGAGGAAATGTCTTGGCTCTTCTCAGACCTGTGTAACAGGGAAATGTAGGGCACCTGGCAGTCACCCAACCCCTACACTCTGCTTTGTTTGGGTCTTTCCAAACCGGACCTGTTCTGGGGCTGCCGGAGCTCAGCCCAAGGACATCTGAAAAAGTGGGGAAAGGAGGCATGAGGCAGCATCCTGCAGACAGACCAAGACACCCTCACTTTCTCCCCCTGGGGCCGCCCCAAGCACAGGGAGGATCCCTCTGCAGCCCAGCATGCAGGGCACTTAGTAGCCAGACTGCTTGCTGAGTGCACTGTGCCAGGCACTGCTGCAAGTCTCGCACACAAGTTACCCCGAGCATCACACCGCACTTCGAGGGAATATTTTCTTACACTTTGAAAAAAACGATCAAGACCAAAAATTCCCAAGAGGGTGGTGACTACTTTTCTAGCTGCCTTTAGGCAACATAGCCCCCACAGGCCTGGTAGTGGTGGGAGGGAGGGGTGTGGGACAGGAGACAGGGAAGCAGTTGGCCTGGTTTTATGTTGCTACATGGCTTTAATTTAGACTTTTGATAAGCACTAACAGGATTTTTAAAGACATTTGCCCTCTCTTGGAAGTAGGGCCCCATTACCACACCACCCTCCCAGTGTGCCTTAAATTTGGGTTTAGAACATGTTAAGGAAATCCTGTATAATTATAAAACTATATCAATTATTTTGCATTGGGGGCAGTTAAAGGGCTAATTTATAATAATAAACATTTAAAACACATTTCCATCTTTTTTGCAGCCCCCTTTTTGGACTCTTCTGCATGATTAAAATCCATTGGGATGACTTAACTCCCCGAGACATCCTGCTTGCTCCCTGCTGATACAGCCATTCTGTCCCCAGGGTAGGGGTGGGATGGGATGGGAGGAGGGGAGTGAGGAAGGCGGGGTGGAAGGTGGCTGCCTTCTTTCTTAAGTTGAACTCAGGCTATTTTTGTCAACTTTGTGTCTAACAGTAATAACCCAGAGGTCCTCCCACCACTGGGGGCTTCTTTTAATGAGTGGTTGAGCGACTTGGGGTGGATTTTGGAAGCATGCCCTTCTTGCCAGCAGATCATTATCAGCTGGTTGGTTGGCACAAACCAAGAGATTCGAACACGTTTAACACTCTGAAACAATGGTCTCCTAGGAGGCACAACTTTACAAACATTCCCAACAAAGTGTAGGCGAATGAACTCCATCACAGGAGGGCTAACCCAGAAATCACTTGGTGAACCCAACACACAGGGCAGGAGGATTGCACCCAATGAAACCAACAAGCTGCCTCCATGAAATGTTGGAGGAAGCTGCCTCCTTGGGAAGGAGCAGGAGGGGTTCTACTCCGTTCACCTCAGTGCCAGTGACCTAGGGCAGGCACCTCCCAGGGGATCTGAAAACTGAATTAATGCCATTCCACCGGCTGCCCTCTTTCTGGCCTGGAGAGCCTGGGTCCCCCCCGAAACTGCACCTGTGCCCATCTCTCTCCTAGTTAGCCACTTCCCTGGTTATCTGGCCTGATACCCTCAGAACATTGAAAAATTGTGGGCTCTGTCCTCCCAAGACAAGATGAGGGACAGGCCAGCCCTCTCCTGATTCCGGCCACCTCCCCGGTGAACAAGTTTGCACTGTACCTTGCAGTCACTTTAGAGAAAGAACAACTTAGCAGTGGAAGTCGTGCTGGGTGGGGGTGGGGTGGGGGTGTGCAGCAGGGGACAGCCACACAGACCTAGAATTTCAGCTCAAATCTCAGATGCCTGTTCTTGTAAAGAAGGGAAGCAGAGGCCCAGACACTGAGGGACCTGCTTTGGGTCACACAGAGAATCACTGACTAAACAGAGCGCCTAGCCCTCCTGATGCCGCATAATACTTCCATTCCCCACCCCTTTTCCCTCCCCAAACCACGAGCCCTAATATATCTATAATTTGAGAATTCCCCAAGTGTGGCTCATTCATAACTGCCAGTAGCAGGAGTGCACTCATAGGAACTGTAGTAATAGCTATAGCAGTAATGCTAAGAAAGAAATCTGAAAATTTGGAGGTTTGTGATTTTTTTCCTCTTCCTCAGCCCAAAGCCAGCCAAGTTTCCTTGAGGTCAGCATGGAGGGATATCTAAAAGAATTAAGTAGTTTAAGGTTCTCAAGAGAGAGTGAGATGGGAGCGGGAAGCGCCCTGGCCGGGGCGGCGGTACTCACCAGCGCTCCCTGCGCAGGTCGTGGACCCAAGGAGTCACTCAGGTGCAGCGCAGCGGCCCGGTTATATAGCCAAGGTGTTGCGCAAAGAGGCCGGCGGCAGAGGCTGTCACCACGCCCCTCGCACATTCCAGGACCGCCTGTCGCGCCAGGGCACTGCCTACCTGCTGGCTTAATGAGCCCAACGTGACCTCGCCCGGCTGCGCGGAGGAAAGAGAGGCGGCCAGGCTGCGGGGAGAAATCTCAGCCTTTCCCAGGAGACGGAGGGCAGCGAACGTGCCCGCGCCCCGTGCGCCCCTGTCCCGGGCTGGCGCGCTCTGCTCTGTCCCAACGCAGGTCACAAAGGATCCCAGCACATGGGCGCTAGTGGGGCTCCGGGTTCCCACCTTTCCCCTCCCCAAGAACCTGAATCTGCTAGTTTAGCTCCTCCGGAGCCGAGGAAGTCAGATAAACACCAGCTAGAAAATTCAGGGGCAAAACCTTTCCAAACAAAGCCAGGATTGTTCGGCCTCACCCATCTTTGGGATGCTTTCTGCTTTAGTAGCCCGGACTGAGCAATGGACACGAGGAGCCCTGGGTCTGAGACTGGACATGGCTGGATGGGCCGAGTTGAGGAAGCAAACGATGGCCCTATTTCACTGTTTGAGCTGCCTGGGTGTACCCTGCGTCCTCCCTCATTTTTTTCCATTCAAACCCGTGCCAGGGAGAGCCGATCACCACGCTTATCCTAACAGCAATCCGGCCAGGCTGACAGGTTTCCAATGCGTACACAAACGCCTTCTTGGGCTCAGAGCAGCTACCTTTCTAGTTGAGGCCTTAGAGCACTGGGAGGCATGACATGGGATTACTCAGGATTTGCTGAGCCAGGATCAAACCTGGGTCTCATTGCAAAACCCAGGTCTTATTCCCTCTGCCACAGGGCCCTGGTTTTACAGCTGAGGAAAGTGAAGCTGAGCAACTAAGCAGCTAACTAGCGGACCTGCTGTCCACAGCTAATATGTAGTGGGCGTGCCCTGTGGGAGGTAGGCTGTTTACATTCCGTAGCCAACAGTTCTCTCCGCAGCCCTCGCCCTCCGCCCTCCACCCTCCGGGGAGAAGTCAGGAAGGAGGTCACGGGGAACCTGCAGAGCCAACCAGGATCTCCCCACGGTTGACTGGCGTCACACTGCCTGAGATCAGTCCCGGGCCCTGCCCCTTGCTCCCCCTACCTTCATTTGCTCCTGTGTAAAATGGGAATGCTCGTCCCTATCTGAATTAGATGAGGTAAAGTATCTTAGCACATACAACAGTCCCTGGCACAGGATGAGTGCTCAGGGTTAACCATTTCAGTTTCCCTGGGAACCTCCGATGTTGGGAGATGAATGGAAAGCTTTGATTAGACTCATCTAGAACCTTGAGGCCATTACTCCACAGCCTCAGATGCTGGTCACATCGGTCCAGAGGCCAGGACATACTGCTTGGAGAACGGGCATCAGCAAGCAAATTATTCTTATTGGAGGGACACTGGTTTTTTGTGAGTGGGTGCTAGACTTAAAAGCCAGCCTTTGGAGACAGTGATCACCCCTGGTATTCATTGAGCTCAGCTCCGCTTCGAGCCCTGGCCGTGAGGGCTGCAGACCCAGCTCAGGGGCTCCCAGAGGCCAGCCTTCATTTGACATTCACTCAGGCAAGCCTCCTGCAGTGGTTCTGAAGTGGGACCCAGTCCTTACCGTCTTCACATATCCTTTATCACCCCCAACAAGGAGCCAATAAAATAGATCAAAATTTCAAAAAACTTGGAAAAAGAAAGGTTTCCTCTTATGTTCCAATTGAAAAGGCAAAGTGCTGGTTCAATCAGGAGACCTTTTTAAAAATATGTATGGATCTTGGTAATAGATCAGGGCTGATGTCTGACTCTCGTTTTGGATTGTAGTTTTTCTATTACTTTTTGTACAAAGTGTGGAGGAAAGGTAGACTGTGCGTGTGTGTGGACTCTCTCCCTTTAGTTTGATGCAGAATATTTTTGTCTTTATTCCATCTCAGACACAGAACCCATCACCTTAGTGCTGTAAGCATTCAGCTTATGTTAAAGTACTTTCATCATTCATACTGGTTTGTGCCTACGCCATCCAATAAGGCAGAATTGATTGAATTAAATGGTATCATTAATTTGATCTTGAGGCCGGACGAGGTCAACCAGCATCTTGCCTCCAGGCTACAAAACTATGAACTGATTAGTATAGGCCACATCCCCTACTGAGCCCCAGGGCCAGGTATGCCTCACCATTGAGAACTTCCCGTCTCTAGAAAGTAAGATGCTATGAGGCACTTTCTGAGCTATCATTATAACTTTATGTAGCATGACCCATGTAGTATGTAGCATGACCGCCCTGCTTATCACACATCGTTATTATATTGGTATTTCTAACCTGTTGTGGATTAAGAAAATAGCTCACCCTTTTCAATAAGTCATCAGAGCTGTAAAGCAAGAGTAAGTAAACCCAAAAGGTCTGATGGGTCTATTTCTGTGCATCTTTGACAATCTAGACTAAATACAGGGGGTCCCCAAAAGATGTATACACATTTTAACAGCTGGTGGTTCAACTGATGCTTCTTTCTTTTCAGATTAGCCCATTGGAATGAAAAATGACAGCCAAAGTGTACATACACTTTTGGTGAGGGGGACACCCTGTATTTACTATTAAGTTAGTATTTACTATTATAAGCAGAAAACTTTCTTACTACCTAGTACTGGGCTAGGTTCTAAATAATTGAGGCCAGTGGCACTAAACTCCCACTTTCCAAGGACACACATATTAGAAATAAGACTAACAAGTTGGGCCATGCAGAGGGCCTGTAGTAACCAGGACGGGTCAGGTCAGATTGTCACTCGGTCTCACAACTTGGGTGATGACCAGGAGTCAAGAAAGGTGACTTCTATGCCAGTTGGACCTTCTGCTTCTGTCACTCAACCCACCTTTGCTCTTGCCATCCCTTGTACCTGGGACAGTCTCCCATTTTCACATAGACACTCTGTTCTTCAGGTCTCAGAGAGCTTCACTGAGCATTTCTCCTGCCCACAGCCATTGTCGCCCTATTTGTGTTTCCTTCATAGATTATTGTATGACCTTTTCACAATAGACTTGCGAATAAATTGTGTCTTCATGGGTTGGGGGATTGAAATGTAAAGGTCCCAATTGTTCCCTCAATATTTCACTTTCTACTTCAACATTTTTAACCAAGGGAACTTTTAAGTTATTAGAATATGTAACTTTTTATCACAAGTAATTCCTAATCATGTAATTAAAGCCAGAAGATAAAATGATATAAAATTAAGCAGGGACTCACAGCTCTGAACATCTTCCAAGAGGCTGAAATCCTCTCCCTTCTGTTCTCAGTGGAGTCTGGGTCCAGCAGGCCTGTTGGAGATGTTAAAGTAAGACATGTTGAGTGACTCCCAAACACCTCACCTCACAGCCCTTTAGCTTCTTCAGGGCCCTGCGATAGCACTGATTAATTCTAGGGGTGCTTAGTCGGGCCTACTGGCAAGCTATCAATCCCCTTGGATACATCCAGAACTTGGGAAATGTCAAATAATGTTACCTTGCTGTGAGCACTCGGGCTGACATAATTATAGGCTGTTTTCAACTTGCCTTAAATATGTACACAAACATGCAGGGGAAAGCAGTACACAAAAATGTTCACAGTGGTTATTTCTGGCAGTGGGAGCAGGTGGCTTTATTTCCTATCTATTTGTATGATGCTCCAAAAAGAATTCAAGACAGTTTACAGATTGACAAGGAAAATTGATTCAAAAATAAGCGCAGAGGTGAGGGGAGAGGGACTGGATGAAAGAAGGTTAAGGGATTAGCCAAAGAACATATATGTATAGCCCAAAGGCACAGACAACAGCATGGTGCTAGCCAGAGGAAAGGGGAGAGGGGAGGCTGGGTGGAAGTGGGCAAAGCCGGGGAGGGATGAGGACATCAGTAATAATGTCAACAATTTTTTTAAATAACACAAGAAAACAAAATAGAAGAAGAAGAGGTGAAAAGAGGCAAAGCAAAAAGTAGGGAAGTGAGAGGCAGGTCCCACACGGTGGCCAGGCAGAGCTTGAGAGGTAAGGCCAGGCGTAACCGAAGGCCTCAGAACAGTGGACTGACCCACTTACTCCCTCTCAAAGGGGCAGCCCTCCCTTGGTTCAGCCGATGTTGCTGTTGGAAATGAAGGCCAGGGTTGCTGTTTCACATTTCAGAAGCCAGAAAGTAAGACCTCTAGGTAAGATTTCAGAATGTTTGATGTTGGCTGAAAACTTATTTTAAAACCACCTGGTATTGCTCAGTGGTTGAGCGTCGACCTATGAACCAGGAGGTCACGGTTCGATTCCTGGTCAGGGCATATGCTCAGGTTGTGGGCTCAATCCCCGAGTGTGGGGCGTGCAGGAGACATCCAATCAATGATTCTCTCTCATCACTGATGTTTCTATCTCTCTCTCTCCTTCTCCCTTCTTCTCTGAAATCAACAAACATGTATTTAAAACTCCAAGAAGCCAAATGAAATTTTATCTCTGGCCAAATGCAGCAAGTGCACTAGCTGCTCGCTTGTTCTCTCTCCATCAGCATCGCTGTTTAAATCTTCCTAGAACCTCGGTTCTCGAGAACAATAGAGGATGAGCTGCATGAAGTCAGGGGTGTTTGTCTCCCACCGCTGTGTTTCCCAAACCTAGAGGGGTGCCCAACTCAGGGAACAATTGACATTGTGGAATGAATGACAGAGGACATCCTGCACCATCATCATCATCATCATGACCTGCACTTTGTGCCGTTCCTTCTTTATCAGAACCTGGCTCTCCGCAGAAGGAAGGCCCCCAGAGCCACCTGATCGCAGGCATCACACTCCCACCCTCCCTCAAAGCGCCTGATGCCTTCCCACGATTAATGACCATTAACCTCAGAATGCCAAGAGCGAGGAGGGGCTCCATGCTCCTGTGTTCATGTTTACACTGGGCAGGTGTCCAGAGGACTGTAAGCTGGGAGCAGCCGCTAGTTACTAGAACAATGCAAGCTTCTGTCCTTAAAGGAACTCAATAAAACAGATCTTATAACCTCTGAGAAAGGGCAAGC